TTAAATAGCGAGGAAACTCTGAAAACGTATGTTACCAATTAGAGAGAAATAAAAAAGAAGCGACCTGAAAACAAGCGTGTAAGCAAGATCAACGTGATAACACAGCTGAGCTAGGCATTTACAAGTAGCCGAGAAAATGTAACACGCAACCTCAAATAACTCGCTACTTCCGGTCCGCTAAACGTTTGCTCGTTAGAGGTGTTAATTCATTAACGTTTGCGTTGTATTGTGTACAAAAATAACCGTGTAAGCCATTCTAAGTTAGAGTCCGTTATCTTCAGCGTTAATTGTTAACATTAATTTCTCCATTTTTCTCTTTTCTCTTTTCTCATTTTTCTTTTCTTTTTCTTCTCCAACATAGTGTACGAGTGAACGACACTGATTTCATAATTTTCAAATGCGAACATAAGAGAATTAGCACATGCAGTATTTCTGTTGCACTTACTCCTGTGACAAGCTAATTCCATGAAGGAGAACAAAGACAATAAGACTTATTATTGGCAAACACTTGAAACATGCCGTAAGTAGGGATGGCTGCTCGGCTAGCAATATAAAATACACGGACACACTTTTAAAGAATGGGACTAGCTTTGGGCCAACACTTTTTAACTGCAACAGACAAAACAAAACAAAAATTGGATCCTTCGTGTTATCGCTCATAACCAAGTTTTATTGGAGACATTGACACACAATTTCCAATGTTTGTTACTTTCAACGATAATTGTTAGGGATTAATAATATTATTCATTGAGCAGCACACAAACTTTCATAAATATTATTTTAAATCGTTTGATTTATGCGCACGGATGATGATTTCACAACAAAGGCAGAAGACACAATGGTTTATAGGATAGGGAAAATAAATAAATATTGGAGATAAGATAGTGGAGCTGTGTGCATCGTTGTGATTCGAGTACAAACAAACACACTATCAATTGTCACTTTGCATTCTGTCGTGATAACATCTGTTTTCATTCATGAAATCAATGGAAACATCTGTATGCAATACAGGAAGCGTATAAAAGCACATTTTTTCCATTCTGTGCGAACAATTGAAATTTTCCTATTCGAATTTCGCTTGTATCGATGCTAGGAAATTTTAATTGTTTACAATGAATCCCTGGAAATTTCCTACACGCTTCCATGGTGTATCCTTTGTTCCTCGACGAAGAACGAAGGCATAGCTACGTTCGAAAAAATCTCTGCCTCCCACTGTGACTTTATTTTTCATACGACGGAAGCAGAAATGTCAAACTCCGATATTTATTGACCGAGCAACCTAGTCAACGCATAGTAGACAATGTAGTAGTAGTAGACATTCGGTTCGTTCGATTGATTGAGAGCCAATATAATACAGCCACGGTGATTTATTGATTTAATAATTACACAGACTTGCAACGTTCTCTCACGAAACCAACGTCAACGTCGAATTTACTCCTGACATGTCCGGAAACCATCGCAAACAAGGGCGTTCCATCGTATTTTCGCGATTCATTTGTGTGTACGACGCGTAAAGAGAGAGAGAAAGAGAGAGAGAGAGAGAAAGAAAAAAAAGAAAACACGACTCGCAATACTGCCAACATTAGTTATTAATAGTTCAGAGACCAGGAGGAAAGTAGCTGCGCGGAAAAAAATGACTGACAGCCGTCGTTCAAAACAAAGAGAACAGCTGTTTGACGTCAGGCATCTTTTCGACGTTCGCGTCTATTGTCTTCGGTCCGGTGTCGACTGAGGCGTCGGGATTGCTCGTTGGAACGGGGAAACTGGAAATGTCGAGGATAACAATAAAAAGACAGAAATGCAACGGGGGTGGTTGAATGATGTGTGTATGACGGATCGATCGACGAGCAAGAAAACTAAAAAGAAATTAATGACGCTTACCACTTGTGTGGGCGATGACATTTTCGATTTGACCGTGATCGTCGCGAGCGGATAACGCTACGCACCCGCGTCCACGAATATTTTCCGCTGCACTGTCAATTGCTATACAATTATCGCAGCAGGCTGCTCCCCCGACGACTGCATTATTTCTCCCTCGCGAACGACGCCGCGTCCTATTGGCCGGCCCCTCGGTGATTACTGGCACCGACCAATCGCCGTTCACCTCTTTTGTTTTGACGTAAAGATTTATGCATTTTTATTATGTTCCTTAATCCCGTTTCCTAAATTATATTTAATGGACGCGCGCTGCGCTACGTTGACACCGCGTTGCCACGGTACGCCGACGGTGCGATGCAGTGATGTAACCTGTCTTATAGAATTTAATAATGCAACTGTAAATATTTATCGAATATCTTTTGAAATATTCAAATCGTTATTTCCATCGGGGGATGAACCAATTTAACGATACTTTGATAAATAGGGGATCGAATGTACTCACGGAATTGTCAAATTGGAATAAACAAGGAAATTTGTTTACGTAAGCCTCCGTGCTCGAGGAAATCGACTTTAAATTATTCTCTGGCGTATTTGCATTCGTAATTGGGTGATCTGAAACGGTCAGCGGGAATAAATGTGTCTAACCGGTTCGATGGAATTCGTATTCGAGAAATTTTGGAATTTTGTTATTTTGAAAATGCGCCAGGTAGCAATTTTATACTATATTTGAATTCTGTATTTAATGCTTGTTTATCGTGTATTTTTATCAATTATTAATTATTCTGTCGCGTGGTTACTTGTAAACTGTCATTGCCTTTCGACGACGTTTCTTTGTTTCGACTTAAAATATGCGTAAGATGCATTGGAGAGTTACTTGAACATCTATTATAATTTTGAATCGAGCGCAGTTACTGCAATCTACGTAGTGTTGTTTGGGTTGTACAAAATATAGTGCGCAAATGATTATGTCCCTAGGGATATAGGGTAGGAATACTTTAGATGAAAAAACGTGTCTTTCACTGTGGTTCAAACGGACTGATGTAACATAACCTATTCTGCCCGTCAAAAGAATCTCACGCCTGCAGTGTAATGTTATCAAGACAATATAAATGCATAATGAACAACAGATTTAAATTGTTAGCTCGTAATATCGGAGCCTTCAAGGTAAACGATTCGTTTTAAAATACGATGAACCGTGATCTATCGTATTATGCGTATGTTTGTAATTTTGTAAACATTTCATCCATACAGCAGCAGTCTCCGCTTTTCGAGCATATTATTCCTCAAACAACTACTTCATGTGTCAGACATAAGTCCTCTGGACCTATGAACATTGGTATAATGTTCGTCCCGCAACAAGAGGTTCGTTACTTTTATAAACAATATTGCATCGAGTTAAATTGCTTTTCTATTAGAAAATTCAATGTATGCAGTTTTTAGAAGAGTTTTATGCCACAAGTTCACTCAAACAATGTTCTAAGATACGTAATCATGTTTTAGGCATGGGTCATCGAAAGAATGGGAAGGTTTCATAAAATCTTGGAGCCAGGTTTAAATCTACTCATACCAATAATTGATCAAGTGAAGTATGTTCAATGTCTCAAAGAAATAGCTATAGAAATTCCACAACAGTCCGCAGTGACTTCAGGTATATGTTGTGGACTATATGTTCAAAATGAACATCGCAAATTAATTTTATAATTCTTGTTTGTAGACAATGTTACATTAGATATCGATGGAGTATTATATTTAAGAATAGTTGATCCATATTTAGCATCTTATGGTGTTGAGGACCCAGAGTTTGCTATAATTCAGTTAGCTCAAACTACAATGAGGTCTGAGTTGGGTAAAATTTCATTGGACAAGGTGTTTATGGAGAGAGAAGGTCTTAATGTTTGTATTGTTGATAGCATCAATAAAGCAAGCAATGTGTGGGGCATTACTTGTCTTCGATATGAAATACGTAAGCTAAAAAATAATAATATTTTTATTTCTCTCAAATAAAGTTGTAATATTTTACCATTTTTTCTATTAGGTGATATAAGATTACCGAAAAGAGTACAAGAAGCAATGCAAATGCAAGTAGAAGCAGAACGTAAGAAGCGAGCTGCAATTCTGGAGTCAGAGGGTCAAAGAGAGGCAGATATAAATATTGCAGAAGGAAAACGCTTGGCACAAATTTTAGCATCGGGTAAACATTGCCGTTTTTATGCGTTAGTATACAGTCAACTTATATAATTTGCATTTTATAGAGGCTACGAAACAGGAAGAAATAAACAAAGCAGATGGTGCAGCAAAAGCTCTAGTAACTGTGGCAGAAGCACGTGCAAAGAGCTTGAAACTTGTGGCAAGCGCTCTTACTTTATCAGACGCAAAGAATGCGGCTGCGCTTGGCATAGCTGAACAGTATGTTAAAGCATTTAATAAACTGGCAAAACATAACAATACTTTAATATTACCTAGTAATGTATCTGATGTGTCTTCCATGGTAACACAAGTAAGTAATAAGATATAGATTCTTCCTTAGAAATTATTTTATAATAAAAATTCATAATAATTGCAGGCAATGACGATTTATAAACAAGTTATGTCCCAACCTTATGATCATATGAAACCAACTGGTAACACTCAACTAAATGTCACTGATTCAGACGAAGCATTCGAGTATTTTAGTGATAAGGAAGAAGCTGAAAAACACATAGACAGTAGGAAACAAAATCCTAAAATGTTATAATGTATTTCTACATGGTATATACATAAATATATTTAACTTTTCTTACTTGTCTAAAATTATCATGATACAAGCATACTGATAGAAAAGGAACAAGTGTATTCATTTAGTCACATGGAGGAGAATGATCAAAAATCTTTATTAACGAAGTAATTGAACTACATGTAATAGTTGATAATTTGAGACAGTATCAAAACTCATTTCTTCCGACTTATTTGAGCGTGATGGTATGGTAGAAAAGTTGCATTAAGTTAATAATTTTCCCTATTTTCTTTTCTTTGTGTGCACTGCTACCGGTACAGGTACTGGCACGGAATATGTCTCTTGGGAGATTCGGTTTATGTAATAAAGAGCAACCATGGAAAATAAGAAACAGGTTGTAATTGCAACACGATGCACCAGTCCTGATGCGATTAAACTAACAATTAGTGCAAACATAACTGTGAAATGAAAGAAATTTTATTATCCAATTGGTCCATGTATACTGGTAAATGTGAAAACAATATGTAGCAATGATCGTACCTTCTGGGAATAATTTCTGTTGGAAAGATTTTCCAAATATTGTAGTCTCTAAGTTCCCTATAGCAGTTAATACACATATGAACAGTAATGATCCAATGTATCCTCCTAATATGGTATACATTTGCGATGATGCTAGCAAAGATTTGTAAATTTGCATTCCGGAGAATACAAGGACCGTCAGGATCGACGACAGAGCGAACGATACTCCACTGCTAACGGCTGAAAAATTACAGAAAATAAAATCCTTTTGTTAGGTTCAGTCTTGACACTTTTCATTGAAAAGTGTTTTAAAGTTCAAACATCCGTATGACTATATTGCATGTGGTTACATGTCTTATGAACAAGAAAATGTTATTTTCCCATTTATCTTTTAATCATTTGATAATATTTCTTATTTTCATAGTTCGTTGAGCTAAATGGTTTTGAAAAGGAATATTTGCACATACACATTTTGACAGAAAAACTACTTAATCGCTGTCGCTTTTTCTACCGTGGACAGAAATCGGTATCACGTAGACAAAACTTGTATCGTGTCACTAGAAATATAGGACTCCTATAGGGGCGAAACTCTGACGGTTTTACGGAACGCAACTGTCATTCGCATGAACATTAGAAATCGGTTCTCAAAAACCATCGGAGTTTCGTTTTCGTGAACATTGTTCGTGCCACTTGTACAAATGTAAATGTTCCTTAATTTCTCGGAGGCATTGATTGGCTGGCACGAAGCTAGTTACAAATTAATTACTAAATTCGCGAATCGAAGAACATTCGAAAAGAACGAGTCCCAATCCTTGAAATTGGGATGTTTCCAACGGACAATTCAGTTGCAGGAAATACGCGAATTAAAACACGAAATTCCATTCCGTCGCGCGTTCGATCATTGGTAAAGTGGTACGCTAGATGGAGTAACCATCGTGGAATATACATGCGCAGAAATTAGGGCACCATTATCGATTTAAACCTAGGCACGGTGACACCCTCTTCGATCGATATTTTCAGCGTAAACTCTCATTCTCCTCTCTCTTTCCCGAAATTCGCAATCCTCGCAAGACCATTCGTTACTCCGTTAATTAAAAATCCGTGAAACTCCGCTCCTCGAAGAAATCAACGTTCGCCGTTCGACGGAAAAGGGAAACCGAATAATTGAAAAAAATTACGAAGGAAACAACGATCCGACGTTAAAAGAAACTAACCGGTCGGGAAAAAATCTCGAAGAATCTTCGAGGAATATCTTTGAAAGTAATATTCGCGAATGCTGATTTGACTAGCGCGGTATGACGTCAAAGCCAGTAGGCCGTGTTCACGGACAGAGAACCAGGATTGGCTGTCAGGAGTGTTCGGTCCGGCGAGGGAGTAGGAGGTCCGGGTCGCCATATTGGTTGGTCGTGCGAACCGTCTGTCGTTCGCGGTGAGAGTCGAGAGCTGTCCGCCCAGCTGAGCTGTTAACGCGCGCGTTCTCGAACGAGCGAGAGAGAGAGAGAGTGAGTGAGAGAGAAAGAAAGAAAGGAAGAGAGACACACACCGCACACACACACAGAGGGAGAGAAAAAAAAGAAGTAGGGGAGAGAGAACGAGGTTCTCTCGAAACGCGATTTCGAGGGCAGCCACCGGTTATTACAAAACCGATCTATCAGAGGGAACCGGATTGGGACCGGCGACACGTATTTTTTTTCCTCTCTCCACATTGCTCGTCGCGCTCGCGTTTCGCCAGTTACGGTCGGTGGTGTGCGCGCCCGTGGTGTCCGTCCCTCTCCTGTCCGTCTACCGTTGTGTGTGTGAGACACGTTGTTCAACGCTGTCGTCGAACCCGGAGGACAGCCCCTCGGAGCGATCACGCTTCTCCGGTCGTCGGATCGAGCGGTGTGAGAGCTTGGATAGAAGACCGAGCGTGACAGCGGTGGCCCCGACGACAGTATGGCGGGACAGACGATAAACGACAGGCTGCTGGCAGCCAGGCACAGCATCGCCGGGCAGGGCCTAGCGAAGTCCGTCTGCAAAGCTACCACCGAGGAGATGATAGGCCCTAAGAAGAAACATCTCGACTGTGAGTACAACCTGTTTCTCCCCTATCCCCTAACCATTGATCTTGGCTCGATCAAATGTGTGTGCGAAGATGTGCGCGCCCGCGCGCATTTCTCTGCGGGGTGAGAGTGTGCGATGTACACGGATGTACGACACCGTGTCTTGAATTCATTTTGAAGATTTTAGATGGGACTGGTTCTACGGACCTCTTAGGGATATTCGGATTCAGGTTTTATTCGTTAAACGATATATATATATATATATATGTGTATTTGGTTAGGCATCCTAGAGTTCGCCGTAGAAACGTTTGACAAGCGTGTTTCCTGACTCAGCGTCGACTATTCCCCAAAGTGCACGAACTTCGCGAGGAGCCGTTGACGTTACTGTATTAGTCACGTCCGATGCTTGGGAATCACCTTTCATACGGTCCTCCCGCCCCTCGTGCTTCGTTCACAGGTTACTTTCCATTTCGAGGCGTAACGCGGAGGAAAGTCGCTCGTTTGACGGTTAATCGTGTTTTTCGTGTTATCAACCGCCGGGAAACTGGTCGGGGACGTTCGACCGTCCACCGGACATTTTAACCCATTTTGCCATATTTTGCTGGTACTTTTGCGGTACGTGTGGCAGCTACGTATGTTGATCGAAGATATGGTTGGCAGTATTTTCGGAAATACTTTTGAACGCGTTCCCCACGAGAAGAATCAGTTTCTTTGAATTTAAAGGAAGATCGGTTACCGATCGATATCGAGACTCTCGACCGTCGTTTCCCGATACGAGGAAAATTGACGTGCGTCGTCGGTTCGTTGTTCCGCCGACGAACCGTCGGACGAGGAAATCTCGAACGAAGACGAGGATGAGAAAGTCGATTGAATTTTTAGTCGAACGCGAGCGGAATCGCACGTGAGACGTGTGTTCGTATCGATTCCACGCTGCTCGCAAAGCACCTGTCGTCACGTTACGCGTCCGTCATTAAGATTACATTGACGCGCGTACGTTGACGT